TAAAAAAAATCCTACTAAAATATAATGTAAAATAAATAAAAGAATCACAAATAAAATCATATTAACTAAAGCATGCAAAATAAATCCAAAATAAATGAAAAAATATGTTTATGAGTAAATTAAAACAATATGTATATTAATTATGGTAATGAAGTTAATTATCTCCATAATGCTGCCCCATTCTTCACTAAATTAGGTAACCTTTTCAAAGAAAAAAGCCAAATCATTAGTATAAACATTAAACATATATACATAAAAGTTGATAAAATGTTAAGAAATATTTACAATATTTAGATAATCAAAGAAAATGGAGAGAAAAGAGATATGGTAAACAAAAAGGAGTTACTAATATTAGTTTAGCATAAAAAAAATTAAAGAATGTAAATTAAACTTGAAATAAAAAAATAGAGAAGAGTACTAAGATGAAGAAATACAAATTTAATGAAAATTGAAAAATAATTAACTAAAATTAAGAGAAATAAAAGATTAACAATCTATTCATAAAATTGAAGAGGAACAGAAGAAAGAACCAAAGAAGAGAAGAAGAATAAATGAAAGAAAAGAGCGAACCACTACATATAGAAACACTTATGGACTATTTCGGTCAAATAATATGATTGAAATAAAAGGCGAAAATTTCAAAACCGTGAGCCAGTGGGATATGAGATTATTTTAGTCAAATATTATGACCGAATTGTATGACAAGGGAAATTCAAAATTCCTCCAAAATTTTTAGACAGTGGTTGAGCTGAACCTTGTGTTTACCTTATTTCGGTCATTGTTATTGACCAAACTAATAATGTTGACCAAAATAACATCCACCCTATTCTCGGTGCATGGGATAGTGTGTTGGATTTTTCGGTCAATTATTTTGACCGAAATAATATGCATAGACATATGGTGCTTTACACCAACTATAGAAGGGGGGTTTTGTTGGGATTATTTCGGTCAATAAGTATGACTGAAATAATCCCTTGATTTTTTCGAGTTGTAGGGTTTTCAGGACAATCAGCTTAAGTTATTAAAGCTATACAGTCGGCTTACGATTTCTACAGCCGGCTTTATGGCATTCTGAACATTCTGTTTTTTCCGTAGAGCCAACTGGAAAGCGCAAAGCCAGCTTTACCGGTTTCCTACACCTTATGTTTTTCTTGAACAGCCAGTCGGGTTGTGATGTGTTTTGACCGAAATAGGTTGGTAAGGCTTCTACTTAATCCTATAGTTCTTGTTTTTTGATGTTAATTCCTCTTCTTTTTTACTTATTTTCTTTCAAACTCTTTTAGATAAAATTTATAATTAATATTATATAATTAGCTCTGTATGCTAAACATATATTAAAATATGTAATTGAAACACATAAATATAAAGGATAGCGTAATATTATAATTAAAGTGTCATGACATAGAATACTAATTAAAATACTATGCCCTAATCTCAGATATGGATAACAGAAATTAGGAAATATGTTGCAGAATATAGGTAAGGTAAATATACTATGGTTCTTGAATAGAACGTACTTTTTCACATGCCTCATCCCAAGACTTTTTGGTAAATATAAGATGCAAACGACCATTACCTAAAATATTTGTAATAGTTTCAGAGGACTCAGCAGCTGTTTTGGATGAGTTTGACACGACTTCATATGGAAGGTAATGATTTGGGCAAATTTTTGCAGTATGACCCTTATGATTACACAGTTGAGAAGTTACTACATATCGGTGTGACATATAGTAGCTAAATGTCCAGGAATATCACATATTTGACAGACAACGTTGTCTTCTTTTTTAGGCAATGGAATGTCTTGGGGCATTGATATATGATTCCTTGCTTTTGTCAACTTCTTCCTTGGAGGAATTCAAGATGGACAATCCCATAATGATTCAGGAGTATCTTCAACAATTTCTATGTAAATTAACATAAAATTAAGTAATATGTTAGTAAATGATATGTACCAAGATGAATTCAAAAGTAATGGGAGGGAAAAGGAAAAAGAAATTATACCATTATATTGGTTGTCAAAGTATGATTGACTGTCCATTTGGCTGTCAAAGTATGATTGACTATCCATTTGGCTGTCAAAGTATGGTTGACTATCCATTTGGATCTCAAAGTTTGGTTGACTGTTCATTTGACTGTTAAAATCTGGCTGACTATCCGAAACATGGCTATCAAAGTAATCTTGATTGTCCATTTTGCTGTAAAAGTAATCTTGACTGTCCATTTACCACATAGTAATTGTATAATCAACTAATTAATTAAATTAATCATAGTTTACTTAGCAATTACTAATTATAAATTTTTTTTTATTTCTTTCTAAACTAAATTTCTAAAAAAAAATTAAAGAAAAAATTTGTACAACATAATTGTAGTTTGGTTTGGCTTACTTCTAAGTCAAAAAAATAAATGAGAAATTATTTATTTGAGTGGGACAGATGCATTAAAAATGAAAAATTTAGGTACCTTGACTAAGTGGAAATAAACTCAATTAATTAATTAGAAAAGTAAAACCATACTAATGGAAATGAAAATTATGATAGAATAGCAAATAACACATTTAAATACATTAAAATCTTATGATTAAATATAAATTATATTTTCTAAAAATTAAAACATTAAAATTAACTAACCTCAACCCAAAATAACAAGATAGAATACTATATCTGAACACAAGGTGGTGAAACATAATTGATAATAATCACTTGAACATTGTGTTTAAAATTAAATTACTTCCAAAATTTAATTACAAATAGGTCCAATAAAAGAAACGAATAAGAAAAAAGAAGAAGATTGTAGCCACTCATACCTTCCTTAGATAAAAAATCTTAAAAACTATTAAATATTGGCCTCAACAAATGGAGCAACTCTTAATTAGTCACTAATTCCAGCCAAGACTCTGGAAAATTTACAGAAGACCATATGAGTAGGAAGAAGTAGAAATTTTATGATAAAGGAAAACACATCTACTTATAAAGACTAAAAACATTAACTGTCGATGCAATAAAATATTGGAGAATTTGATTTCAAATCTATAAATCAGATTCTTCACGCAAATGAAATGAAAATTTCTATACCAATCAAAACTTTTGACCAAAATAGTAAAAACACATTTTTTTTGGTCAATTTAATTGTCCGAAAATAATTCAAGTACATGACTGTCCCCCTGCTTCATGTCACTTCAGTCCAAATTTTTTCCCATGTTTTTTTGGTCAAAATGATTGACCAAAATAATATCAATAGATATATACGTCCACGCCAAATCCCCCGAAAAAAAAAAGGGGGATTATTTCGGTCAGTAAAAATGATCGAAATTATTTCAGTCACGTATTATGACCGAAATAATCCCTTGGTTTTTTAGTTACTTTATTCTCAAAACAATCGGCTTTGATTCTTAGAGCTGGCTCCCACAGTCGGTTTAGAATTTCTGCAACCAACTTTGTGAGATTCTGTACATTCTGTTTTTTCGGTAGAGCCGACTGCAAAACGCAAAGCCAGCTTTGCATACTTCGATCAATCATTATCACCGAAATGAGAAACTATTTCGGTCAAGCATTATGACCGAAATAATCCATTAATTTTTGAGTTCCTGTATTGTCAAAATAGTAGGCTTTACTTCTTAGAGCCGACTCTTTACAGCCAGTTTACAATTTCTACAGTTAGCTTTCCGAGATTTCTCCACATTTTGTTTTTTCCGTAGAGCCAGTTGCAAAACGCAAAGCTAACTTATAATAAGGCATAGGTTTAAGTACCATTTTGGTCCCTCAACTTTACACTTTGGCACCAAAATTGTCTCTTAATTTTAAAAAGTACTAAAATTATTCTTAAACTTTCATTTTCGGTACCAAAATAGTCATTCCGTCAGTTAAATGGACAGGTAGCATGTTAACTTGCTAGGAAATCAATTCTTTTATTCTTAGCTAATGACATGGAAAAGAAAAAAACATAGCTGGATATAATTTTTATGAGTTGGAATTTTTATTTAATTTAAAAATAATAATGTTTTTTTTTCCATCCACGTCACCACAAAAAATATATCTTCTTCCTCTTTCACGTTCTCTCTCTTTTAACTTCCTTTTTCCCTTACCTCTGCAAACCCACCTCTGCAAACCCAGATCTGGGTTTTCTTTCTCAAACTTTATCTTCTTCCTTTACCTGCTCATCCTTCTTCTTTCTTCTTCTCATTTTCTCTCTCTCTCTCTCTCTCTCTCTCTCTCTCTTCTCCCTTATTCTTCCTCTCTGAAACTCAGATCTGGGTTTGTTTGAAACCCAGATCTAGGTTTCATCACATCAATTAACAATTTGATGAAGTTGGTGATAATAAGAAAAAGCAATACAAATCATTCCATTATATTAATTAAATATAAGCTTTGATTTCAAATGGCGATTCGAGAAAACAGGAACTAGGGTAACCTATTTTCTGAAAGAGAGTAAAAAGGTGCCGGTGGTTGCCATATTTAATAGAAGGCCTCAGCTTAGAACAATCCAAGTGAAATTGAAATTTAGAACAATCCTCACAACAATAAGCTAAGACATTAGAGATATGAATCCCACATGCTCTGCAGAAAAACCACTCCTCACTTTCATTGTAAGATTTGATCTTGAGACAATGATTGGGGTGGAATGGGTGATCTTGGATTGTTTGTGGTGATAAATCAATGGCACATGATTGATGTAGGAAAAAATTGCATCTGTGACACAAAATGAGGACTTGGGGACTTTTCTCGACATGCCCAGCAGCGAGCTTCACGGCCATCCTTAATCTCACAAAGCTCCAATGGATGGTGATGGTAGACATGTTGAATCCATTTGGCACCTTCACAATTTGCTGTGGGAAGCAAGGCGCATTCAACATCTAACTCAAATAAACACGCTTGACACTTGTAAGCCAAGTCTGAGCATCATCGGAAAGGGCTTTCTGCGACGAAGAAGAACAAATGAGCTCCGGTACAAGATTCGGAGTTTACGGAGCTCGAAAAGCTTTATGAGTCTAGAA